CCACCCCAACCTCCTGGGCACCTTCTAGGTCAAGCGCTGGAGGAAGTCCACCAGCAGGTGCTCAGGGAAGCCGAAGTCCATCTGCAGCAGCAGGTAGCCCTAGAAGGAGGGGTGGGAGGAGAGAGTCAGGATGGGCCCATGTCCCAGCAGGGAGCAAGAGGGAGGAGACCCCTCTGCTGGTCCCCCCACAGCTACCCAACAGCTGAGAATGCTATTCTATCCGGGGCTTCCCTCCCCAGGAAGTGAGGGTGAGGGGGGTAGTGAGGGGCGGTCTTTGTACTCACATCCCGAGTGATAATCTCAGGGTTGATGATTTCAAAGAGGTCCAGGCCTTTGCTGTTTACAATAGCTGTAAGTTCTACCTCCAGGCCTGGGGCAGGGGAGAGAGTCAAGTCAGGCCCAGGCCCCTGAAGACAGTGGGGCCACTCAGACCAACATCGAATAAACCCGGTTTCTCCTGGATTCACGTGGAAGACAAGTCAGGGCAGTCTGCTGTGGCTGGTCTGCTATCCCACGTAGTTCTGCTCTGGCCTGAGCTAGAGTCCGCCCCTCTGCCCTTATCTGGGCTACACGGCCCCCAGTTCACAGATATACCCTGGTAGGAAGGATTGGGGTGCATCCATCACAGCTCAGCACTCGCTGGGTGATGCAAAAGGTTAACGCACCCAAGGTCGGAGATTTGAGCTCACCTAGATGTGCCGCAAGACCCCTGGTGACACAGTGGTTACGCACTGGGCAAGGTCCGCAGTTCGAAACTGCCAGTCACTCCCGGAAGAAAGAGTAAGTCTCGGAAACTCCAAGGGGGGCAGTTCTACCCTGTCCTACGGGGCTTCTGTGGGTCAGCATCGCCTCGATGGCGGTGAGTTTGTTTGTCTGTCTGTTTAGAGATGCACCCCAGCAGCAAGGCCTGGCCATCAGCCCCTGGAGGCTCTGGAACACAGCTGTGCTCCGGTACACGCTGCCACCAGGAGGCAGACCCCACTCCATGGCCACTCGTGGTGGCAGTGGTCACTGCTCAGGCACGCCCCACAGGCCACTCCTCACCCCAGGAAGCGTACAACCAGGGAGCTTTACAACCAAACCCAGAGGGGGCTCCCGCAAGGAGTGCTAGGTCCGCAGGTCCACCCATTTCCTGAGGACCCCCACACCAGCCCACTTCTGTGGAGTGGATTCCGACACACAGAAGCCCTGTCCCGCGGGGTCTCCTGGGCTGTAAATCCTGATGGAAGCCTCGGCCCTGGCCTTCTCCCGCCGAGCAGCTGGTGGCTCCCACTGCCAACATTTCAGTTAGCCACTGCACCCTAGGGCTCCCCCTCCTACACAGATGGGAGAACAGAGGCTCAGAGAGGCCGTGATAACCAGCCAGGCTAATTCTTGCTGTGTGGTTTCCCCACCCCACCATCCCCTCAAACCCCGTCCCCTATCTACCAAAACCATATTGCAGAACAACAAGCAGATACCGGAGTGGAACGCCGCAAGTCCCAATAGCTCTCTGTGCCTTCCCCCAAATACTCCCTCCCACCCTGCTCTAGGGCCTGAGAGTCTGCCATGACGGACAGACGGAGAGCCTACCATGCGGGGTCAAAAAGAAATCGTGCAGTTCAATATTCTCATTTCCTACGAGGGGAAACTGAGGTTAGTTAGGGTTGGCCTAGAACCTAGGTCTCCGACCTCCTAGGCCAGGACGGTCTCCGCCACACAACGGCCAGTGGGGCACGTGGGTCCTGAAAGAGGATTGAGGCACCGAGATCCAAGGGGTGGGTTCAAACTGCCAGCCTGTCCTGTAGCAGCCCAGCGCTTACCTATTGAGCCGTAGGACTGACGGTCTTGGCACACCTGGAGAGCCCTACCCTCCAGGTACTGTCAGGACGAGGGCCTGGGAAACCCCACGGTGCAGGGGGGCACCTGCACCATGTCAGGTGGGGACCCTCTGACTCAACACCGAGGAACAGACCCACGGGGGGTGGGGGGCTGTGCACCTGACTGAGCCTCAGGTGTGCCCTGTCCCCAGCTGGGGGGCAGGGACGCCAGCCAGCTGATGAGTGCTGTGGCGGGAGGTTCAGAGGCACCTGGAGCTAGGGGAAGGTCTAGAAGGTCAGTCAAGCGCCTCCCCAGTGTCCCCCTGCAGCCCATACTTACGAGACATGACATCAGGGATGCCCACCATGGCGACCACCGACCTCAAGGAGCTCTGGATGGCCTCCGAGCTCTGTCAACCAGAGGCGCGGCATGAGGGAGCACCCTGCCCCTCGCCAAGCTGTGACCCACAGAGCCTGCGCACTTCCCACCCAGCCCAGCCCTCCCACAGGGCAGCAGCGCCTCTCCTGACCCTGAGGAGGTGAGGGCTGCTATCCCATCCCACAGAGGGCAAACTGAGGCCCAGGAGAGCCCCAGGCCCCCACCTGGATTTCCTCCCCCACTGGCTCCCCTACAGTCTCGCAGGGAGACGGTCACAGGAGAGAGGGGAGGGCCATCGGTTCTCCTCCCCTTGGGTCTGTTGCCTGGTTTCCTTCAGGGCCTTCTGTCTGCGCCTTAAAGGCATGAAGTCTTAGACTTATTTATTA